ACCCCTATCAACACCAGCAGAGATGGCAGAATATTCAAGAGGCTGAAAAACAGAGCCAGCAAGTGAGACATGAGGTTTCACTGAGGGCCCTGGTCCGGGGGAGAGAGTCCAGAGGTAGAGGGCTGGACAGGAGAACTGCAACCACCTGCAAAAGTCGTGCAGTTTGTAAAGCATCTTCGCTTAGTCGCCTTCTGCTGACAGTCTCCACCTGGCAACCTTCATTTAATCCAAACACAAAGGGCCTCACTCCCCTGTATGGCCTTCATTCCACACGACAGGCCCAGGTTTCAGGTCTTCCTCACAGACAAGGAATGGACTCTGGGCTGCCCACTCCCAGATTCCCTAGCTCAGATTTCCCAACCACATTCAGCTGTGCGTGCCACCCTGAGTCATTCTTGGGGTATGCCGAGGTTATTGCTCTCAGGTGCATCTACTTCACAGCGTGAAAGGCAAAATGCTTTTGATTCAAAAAAGCAGGACCCCAGCATGAAAGAAAATTCTCTTTTTAAGTTCTAAAAAGCACTGGTTTAGAAAATCACAAAACAGGCTGGGCTCGGTGGCTCAAGCCTGTAATCCCAGCATTTTGGGAGGCCGAGGCGGGTGGATCACGAGGTCAAGAGATTGAGACCATCCTGGCCAACGTGGTGAAACCCCGTCTCTACTAAAAATACAAAAAATTAGCTGGGCATGGTGGCGTGTGCCTGTAATCCCAGCTACTCAGGAGGCTGAGGCAGGAGAATTGCCTGAACCCAAGAGGCAGAGTTTGTGGTGAGCCGAGATCGCGCCATTGCACTCCAGCCTGGGTAACGAGCAGAACTCCATCTCAAAAAAAAAAAAAAAAAAAAAAAAAGGAAAATCACAAAACAAGTCACAGGGGCCTGGACTGGAACATACTGTTTATCAAGTGAACTATGGGGTTTAGAAAGCATGCCATCCATTACCTTTAGGGGAAAGAGGACTTTTGGTACTTCCCAGACAATACAGCGTTAAGACTGCAGCTCAATCCGTGGCTGGAGCAATGAGATGCCTGGGTGGAAACTGGCAACAGCTAAGGAAAATCGAGGTGGATCAGCCTGAGGGCAATCACAGAAACCTGAATACCCAACCTGTGAGGTCTGAGTCCTAACAGTGGCTCAGAAGCATTTGCTAAGAGGGGACTGAGAGAGGCTAAAAGAGGATGAAGAGGGCCCAGGACACAGGGAACGTTTGAGCAGCGGTCACTCCGCAGACAATTGAACTAGCATGAGCAATGCCCCAAAGACCACAAGGGACTGGGCTACTCTTTAGTCTGAAGCCAACAGTAGCAGGTGATGGATGTGAGCCCGTGAGCACTTCCCAATCTCTGGACAACAGGTATACCGCTTTCTACTCATTCCTTGGGAGGGTGGCTACACAGGGTGGAAAAAAAGAGTCTTTTTGGGGGGGGGCGGGGGTGGAGTCTTGCTCTGTGGCCCAGGCTGAAGTGTGGTGGCACAATCTCGGCTCACTGCAACCTCTGCCTCCTGGGTTCAGGCGGTTCTTCTGCCTCAGCCTTTTGAGTAGCTGGGACTACACGTGCGTACCACCATGCCCGGCTAGAAGGATTTGAATCTGAATAAATGTTTATCTAAACCTAGAAGTGATTGCAAGATTGGCATTTTCTACCATGGTGGAAACGGAGGCTTTGAAAGCTAAGTGGAATTAATTCCTAGAAAAATGAAGAAAGTTACATGTCTGATTCCTGAACTATGTCTGCAGCTTTCAATCAACTAGTTAAGAAAATCTCGTCACCTGCCTATAAGGCAGTTTCTTTGTAAGTCCTGGGATCTTGCTATCAAGTTAAAAAGGCTTCTTTGAATTACATTTTTTTTTTTTTTTTTTTTTGCTAGAGGATGAGGATCAGGGAAAAATATTATAGAATCATGAATCACAAGACATCCATATTCCTACCTTAGAGGCAGAATTGGGGCTAGAACCCAGGTCTACTAACATGCATGGATGAACTCTGAAAGCCTTAAGACTCTCTTGAGGCATAAAAATTCAACCAAGCAGCACTGATGGGCCTACCTTAGTAAAGAACATTTATTTCAGAGACAGACACACTGCACTGACATCTCTGATTATTATAATTTGCATCACACTCCGCAGATAAAGTTGTTGACTAACAAACGGCCTCAGGTGAACATTTCTGATTGCTGAGGGAAAAAAGAGACATAATTAAGAGGTAATCAGCTGGGCACGGTGGCTCACACCTGTAATCCCAGCACTTTTGGAGGCCAAGGTGGGCAGATCACAAGGTCAAGAGATCGAGATTATCCTGGCCAACATGGTGAAAGTCCATCTCTACTAAAACTGCAAAAATGAGCTGGGCATGGTAGCGGGTGCCTCTAGTCCCAGCTACTTGGGAAGCTGAGGCAGGAGAATTGTTTGAACCTGGGAGGCGGAGGTTGCAGTGAGCCAAGATTGTGCCACTACACTCTGTCTCAAAAAAAATATAAAAAGTCCAGCCTGGTGGCTCACTACTGTAATTCTAGCACTTTGGGAGGCTGAGGTGGGTGGATCACGAGGTCAGGAGTCCGAGACCAGCCTGGCCAGTATGGTGAAACCCCGTCTCTACTAAAAATACAGAAATTAGCTGGCCATGGTGGCATGTGCCTGGAGTCCCAGCTGCTTGGGAAGCTGAGGCAGAAGAATCACTTGAACTCGGGAAATGACAGAGCAAGACTCTGTCTCAAAAAAAAAAAAAAAAAAAAAAGATAATCAGTTATTAACATTGCACAGACTTCAGCTTCTTTTCCTTTTCCTGCTGCTTTTAATTTTTTCTTCCTAAAGGGAACATTCCTGGGGAGAAAAGTTGATTCATGCCACTCTCCTTCCTGGCTCTCGTTTGGGATATGTTTAGCCTTCAGAGGAAGTTGATGGGCTGACCATGTGATGGATACATCCTCTATTTCCTTTGCTTCATCGAAGGCACAGCCTTTCTGTCAAGTTCCCTGGTACTAAGGATAGGAAGGAAACCTACGACTACCATAATAAATAGCAATAATTTTCTAATTGTTTACCTAAAAGGCAACGCAGGAACTGAATTTCATTAATCACCCTGACATTTTAGGGTGGGAATTACATAAGGGACCTAGATTCTTCAATTATTTTAAATTCGGATGTATTATGTACACAAACCTCCCACCATAACAACAACTAAGCACCATTGATTAGCATAATGTAACCTAAGAAAATAAATTTAACTGGATGTTCTCGAAATTGCCACAGGTAGAAAGCATTAGCATACGATATAATACCAAAGCCACTTGGAGCCTGCTATGACATCTCCATTAGTGTCATGAAAGGTTTATGGCAAATTTATAAGAATACGTTACAGTATCGTTTTTGTCTAACCCCAGGGGAGGCAAAGCCAAAGGCCTAAAATTAATGATGTCTATTTAGGCAGTGAGCTTATTGCACTACTGCCCCAAACAAAAAAATAGTTCTACATATGGAAAATTCCCAGTTAGGGGAGAGACTGGTGGAAAGAGACAGGGTTTTCATAAATAGTTGAAGCTGTCATTTAACTATTAATGATTTCTAAGTACTTATTGAAACCATCTTAAAATAACAAAAATGAAAAACCATAAAACCACGAAGTCTGATGTTCTCAGCTTAAAACTCTGAATAGTGAAATCAGCTTTTAAGACAAATCCATGTCTTCATATAGCACGCACAAAACATAAATTATCTGTGCTTTATGGCTCTCCATGTGCCTTCAATATGAATTAGGTAAATCAAGAACAGTTTATGGGCCAGGTGCCGTCTCATGCCTGTAATCCTAGCACTTTGGGAGGCCGAGGTAGGTGGATCAGAAGGTCAGGAGATCGAGACCATCTTGGTCAATATGGTGAAACTCCGTCTCTACTAAAATACAAAAAACTAACCAGGCATGGTGGTATGCACCTGTAGTCCCAGCTACTCAGGAGACTGAGGCAGGAGAATCGCTTGAATCTGGGAGGTGGAGGTTGCAGTGAGCTGAGATCATACCACTGTATTCCACCTGGTGACAGAGTGAGACTCCATCTCAAAAAAAAAAAATAGTTTATGATTCCTATAATGAACCAGTTCTTTTTTCTCCACTTTAAAATGTATCTTTGGAAAACCACAAAATGTGGCTGGAAGATATGTATATATATATTATATATTATGCATGTTATATATAAAACATATTTTATTTATATATAATATATACTATTTTATATAATATATATTATATAAATAAATATATGAAGATGTGTATTTTTTGAGACACAGTCTCACTCTGTTGCTCAGGCTCAAGTGCAGTGGTGCTATCTCGGCTCACTGCAGCCTCCACTTCCCAGGTTCAAGAGATTCTCATGCCTCAGCCTCCCAAGTAACTGGGACTACAGATGCCCACCACCATGCCCAGCTAATTTTCGTATTATTAGTAGAGATGGGGTTTTACTATGTTGGCCAGCTGATCCCAACTCCTGACTTCAAGTGATCCACCCATCTCGGCTTCCCAAATACTGAGATTACAAGCTTGAGCTGCTGTGACGGACGGGCCAAGCAGGAAGATGTTTGTGCTTTAAAAACATGAGCTTTATGACAGAAATGCTGAGGTTCATACTATAATAGGTGCTATGAGCTCAAAAGCATTAAAACAAATTGCTCCATAAAGGATGAAAGCTGTCTGTGTCAGGGCAGGCCGTGGTTTTGAGGAGTTTCAAATGAAAACATGGGTTGTGAAGTTGACAAGTTTTACCTACAATGCAGATTTTTAAGCCATTTTGCCTTTCTGTCATTTTTCTCTTGACAGGAGAGGGAAGTGTGTGTGTTTATCTTTCTTCAAATTCTCATGAAAGTCACTCTGGAATCATATATTAAAGGAACCTGGGCCACACTTAAGCTTCAGCCTCATCTGTAGGAGAACTGCCTTCGCATGATGCGTTTTCCAGAGAATGGACTCTTTTCAGGACGTAGACTGTCATGTGGGAAAAGAAAGAAGACCATACCTGGGTAATCATTCTTGTCTATGTCTGAATCTCCTCTTAAAGTAAAGCCAAATCCAGAAGGGACAGCCTGTGAGGTCCACACTCCTTGCAGCACTTGGGAGGGCTTGGTGTTTAAGCCGCCCTTGTTCCCGTTATAAATGAGCACTTCGCCTCTTTGATCCTTGCCTGCAAAGGGCACGCCAACGGCAATGTCTGAAAACAGAGACAGAAAAGCATCGTTTATGTGTGTATGTATGTACGTATTTACTTCTTCATCTATTCATTTTAGAGATAGGACCTCACTCTGTCACCCAAGCCGGAGTGCAGTGGTGGGATCATGGCTCGCTGCAGCCCCAAACTCCTGGACTCAAGTGCTCCGCCTCCCCCAACTTTCCCAGGAGCTGGGATTACAGGTGCACACCACCATGTCCAGCTACTTTTTAATTTTTTTTTTTTTTTTGAGAGATGGGGCCTTGCTATGTTGGTCCAGAATGGTCTGGAATTCCTGGCCCTGAGTGATCACCCCACCTCAGCCTCCCAAAGGGTTGGGATTAAAGGCATGAGCCAGTGTGTCTGGCCATAGAGACGTTTCTTTTTTAAGTACAGAAGAATTGTTTAGAAATAGAGTTTAGGATATTAAAAGAGCAGTATCAAAAAGTCTAAAGGGCTTATTATGTTTTCCATGAAAATACTTTAAAGTCATTTAAGAATGACTGCTGTAATGACAAATTATTTATTGCCTTTATCCATCCAACAAATATTTATTAAGAGCCTACTATGTGCTGGTTGTAGTAGGTACAACAGCAAATTAGACACTTAAAGCTCCTGCTTTTAGGAAGCTTATATTCTAGTACAGGTAATTGACAATTTGAATGGAGAAATAATCAAGAAATTATCAAAAGCAATAAATGCTATATAGAGAATCATTTATATTTTTGAGATGGAGTCTTGCTCTGTTGCCCAGGCTGGAGTGCAGTAGCATGATCTCAGCTTACTGCAGATTCTACCTCCCAGGTTCAAGCGATTCTCTTACCTCTGCTTCCCAAGTAGCTGGGACTACAGGCACATGCCACCACGCCTGGCTAATTTTCTATTTTTAGCAGAGACAGGGTTCCACTGTGTTGGCCAGGCTGGTCCCGAACTCCTGACCTTGTGATCCACCCACCTCAGTCTCCCAAAGTGCTACGATTCCAGGTGTAAGCCACCATGCCCAGCCTTGGAGCCATAAGCTTTTTACAAGTATTGTTTTATGGTACTTTAAAAATGACTAACCATATGCTACTGAGAACTGTTTTATCAAAGAATGTGTAAGAGCACAGTAACATTTGCCAAATATACTAATCGATACTAATCTGATGTGAATACTTCCCAGTCTACTTTGTTAGAGCAAGATCCTGTTACTTCCTTGACTTTAATCAAGAAACCCACTATACCTTGGTTCTTAACTTAAAGGTTCTGAAAATGTATGCAAAATTTTGTGTGAACTGTGTTTTTCTGAGGAGAGGGTACTTGGACAGGTTTCATAAATTCGAACCTAAAGAACTACAAGCCTGGCTGGGCGGGCATGGTGGCTCACACTGGTAATCCCAGAACTTTGGGAGGCCAAGGCGGGTGGATCCTTTGAGGTCTGTGTTACATTGTAATCTTGTGACATTTGAAAAAAAAATTTTCAGAAAGGTGGAAAGGGAAGTTTCCATGTAATATTTATGTTAGTTGAAATGTATAAACTTAAAGCTGCCTTGAGATTTGTGATAGTTTATTAAAAATCAGTAATAACTGTACCCACACACACCATATTGAATACTTTAAAACAGGCATTGTTTCCTTTACGCAATGGTGACGACACATAAATGGCTCCCACACTTTGGTTTAACTTACCATTGTATCCGTCTTGGTTCAGGTCTCCTAAATGCGCCATAGCACTACCGAATCTCCCAAAAGTCTCTGTGCCAGTGAGAATCTGGGGGTCTCTGAAGAGGAGAGAGCTCACTTGCAAATACAGGTAGATTTGCCCTACTTCTCTGGGGTTACTCTCAAATTCACGTTCCATAAAGAGAGGTGCCCCAACCAGGATGTCATCCAGTCTGCAAGGAACAAAGAAAGCAGTTCAGCACACTGGCAGGCAGGAGAGTCATTTGGGGTGTATTTGTAATCAACTAGACTGGTACATTTCCATTGGTATTTTTCCTCTTCTGAGGGTCATTTTACAATCATTATATTTCTTTTACTGCTTTATGTCTATGGAATAGAAAGCTGTAAGAAAATAAGAGTTGTTAAATTTTCACACGGAACATTTTAGCTATGTTAAAAATGTCTGCTTTTAAAAAAACCACAGATATTTCACCATTTTCAGCTTCTTAGTACGTTTCCAGAAACTGTAGTTATACAAAGAAAACATATCAAGAAAGAACAAAATAGCTTTTTGTAAAAATAGATTAGAGTTTGTCTGCAATTAATATAACTATACATTTAAATTACTCAGTTTTTATGCAGTAATCATGTTTAAAATCAATTTTGTCCTTCTCTTTCCTTTGTTAGCTCAATTTAAATAAAGCAGAGAGTAGACAGGTGTATCAAGCTGGCTAGAAACATAGCAAACAACTTCGCAGCCCAAATAAAAATGTATATTCTTTGGATTTGTAAATTATAGCAAAAAACTAATATGTAATTTTTAAGGTTAAAAAAAATTTAAGAGATGTTCAAGCAAATTATTTTGAGAGAAAGATATAACCACCTGGAGAAAAAAATAAAAGAGTGGTTACAGGTGTTTTCTTCACAGAACCAGATGGGCAGGAAGAGGACTAAAATGAGAACCGTCACCTTGAGCCTTCTAAGAGATTTGATTTTTAAGAAAATGTATAACTGTAATTTTTATTTTAAAAATTTAAGTGACCAACCAAAAAAAAAAGTGTGTGTGTGTGTGTGTGTGTGTGTGTGTGTGTGTATATATATATATATATATAATTTGATCTAAATTTATAGTCTCCAATAAAGAGTGCCTGCAGATACCCTGTCTTGGCAGATGCAGTAATCTGAAGGGTGACCTGAGACAGGAATATATATTTGCATTTGACTTTTATGTCTATGTAGATTAGGTAATATGGTGAAATCTGCCAAGCAAACTGATTGAAATATTATGAATATAATTTAGCATTATATGTTAGTATTATTATAAATTTATATAATCATATGAAGAAAAAATATGTATAAAATTATATAACAATATATATTAACATTTTAAATGTAAGAAATATATAAAATTATATAAATTCAGTATATTATATAGATTTAAAACACTATATTATATATTATATCTAAAAATTAAGCTATATCAATAACATTGATACATGTATAATAAAATCAATAATATATTAATATGTATAAATAACAAATATAAATAACAGATTCCATATCAAGTGTCTCATATACATATTTAATATAATTAATATCAAAAGGCAGGAATGAAGTGGGAGCAGATGCAGCCCCTTGACCTTGGACTTCTAGCCTCCAGAAGTATAAGAAATACATTTTTTTCTTTATAAATCATCCAGTCTCAGGTATTCAGTTACAGCAACAGAAAACAGGCTAAGCTATATATTGCTTTAACATAGAACTTTTCTGTTTCTTTTTTTTTTTCCCATTAGTACACTTTGCCTGCTAATGCCCATGACTAATATTCAGAATTTAGTTATTAAAAGAATACACATTAGTGGACTATATAGTAGATATCAAATCAACCTAACTGATAAGCAAGAACTAACATCACTTCAGTTACATTACAGAAATTAATTTATAACCTTTTTATGGTTGATTTTTTTTAGATTTTTCTACCTAATTCAATCATAATGATACATCCTATATGAATGAACATACTTGGACTAAATCTAGCATAAAAATATAGTTCCCTAAGCTGTTTGCTTTGAAACATTTTTCTGTAAATTGTTCTCAAGTTAACTGCTAAGAATCTGTTTAAATTTGGCTCCTTTTGGTCTGGCAGAGGTTAGAAACAACAGTCTTATAGAAAGTATCCAATGGATTAAATTGTAATTCAGTGAATTTCTGAAGCAGTATAACTATTATAAGGCTCAAAAGCCATAAGAAAAAAAACATATGTGCTTGCTTGGGCACGAGATAAAAACTATCATCCATTTGTTTTTAACAGGTTTGTCCAGAAATTCCTAACAAAGCTTACACTGACAGAATCTGTAGTGCTGGAAGTCTTAAGATACCAAAACTGAAGATAATTTCCCCAGCTTGTTTATATTTTCAACACTGTCACAGGCTTGACAGTTTTAACCATCAACCAGCATGTACACAACTGTTGAGATGAAATGTTGGCAGTCCAGTCCATCATACTGGGAGATTTTTCTTAACAGAAAAATAGCGGGGAAAATTTCCACTAGTTAACTTATTTGGTCACTTTACTTATTGACACTGTCATTTTACTTTTCCCTGATGTTGAGATTTTGGAGCATTTTTAGGGATCTTGTTTCTGTTGACTAGTTTTCAAGGAATATGTGTTTTCCAAGAATGTTCACTAGAGAGCCTCCTGCATAAATATACTTAATTATCTCTGGCTTGGGGAAAGGAGAGTCTGGTTCAAGCCCATAAATGTGTGTGCACAGGGGAGTCCTCACTTCTGAACCATGAGCAATGATCTAGCCAAGTGAGTTTTTTAGACCCAGTGAAATATCTTGTAGATATCATCATTATTGTAATTTCAGACTTCACTTGAGTGGTTATCTGGCATCTTTCTCTGGCCAATCTCAATTACTTCCAGAGCATACTTAAAATAGGACGTTGAATTTACATAGCATGTAAGTAACTTAAAACAGCAAATGATATACTGAGAATCTGTGGACAGTTTATGAATGGCATTAGTAAGTTAATGGAAATATTCTTCAATGCAGTCTAAAGAATTCAGAAAATACTACATAATAAAAAAAACAATATGCATAGCAACTTTTAAGAACATCAAGAAAGAAGAAATTATTACTTAAGAAAAGTCTGGGCTGGGCACAGTGGCTCATACCTGTAATCCCAGCACTTTGGGAGACTGAGGCCAGTGGATCATGAGGTCAGGAGATCCAGACCATCCTGGCTAACACAGTGAAACCCCATCTCTACTAAAAATACAAAAAAATTAGCCAAGTGTGGTGGCCAGCACCTGTAATCCCAGCTACTCAGGAGGCTGAGGCAGGAGAATTTCCTGAACCCGGGAGGCAGAGGTTGCAGTGAGCCAAGATTGTGCCACTGCACTCCAGACTAGGCGAGAGAACAAGACTCCATCTCAAAAAGTAAAAAGTCCTGTGTTTGTTACTACCGTGTTTTGATTAACAGGAAGCCAATGAGGTCCTTTTCTCAAAAAAATTTTTTTAACATAACAAAAAAAAAGTACTATAAACGTTGTCACAAAACTTTACTATAGACTACGCATGTTTCCAGGAAGAACAGGGTGCCCTGCAGGGCATAAGGTGAAACTTGGGAAAAGTCCCAAGGATTCAAAACAGGAATGGGCCGTGGAAGAGAACCCATGGAGTGGATCCGTATAGCAGGGAAAAAGCCCCTGGTGCTTGTATGTGACCGTCTGCGGGGAGAAACGTGTCTGTGCATATCTGAAAGGCCGCAGTGGGGTCTTTTCTTTCCCCTGTAGCATGCACTCAAGAAATCTGGACAGCATGCTAGGTTTGCCTTCAAGTCCTTCTTCAGCTGTTTTCTTTCCAAATGACTAAAAGGCTTTAATTACATTTACAGTCCACCTAAGTTGGAAATCCTGACTGACAGTCCTAATGGCTACTTTATTTTTACAACTTAGATATCTGAAGATGAAGGCAATTTATTTTTAAATTAACTGCTTTCAGGATAAGATTGGGATTCAACTATAACTTCGAAATACATGCAGAGTGCAAGCTGCCATCTCCCGCCACTGCTGTTGTGCATACAGAGTCATTGCACTGCCCTCCAAGCCGCTGTCCTGCCTCCCCTGGTGCATGGCAGGAGGCTTCCAGAAGGCTCCGTGGCCATCTAGAACTGGTAGACAGAGCACAGCTGATCACACTGAAGCCTGGGCAGGTACTGCTCACCTGGAATCCCCGTGGCTCACAGGATGTTTGGCCCTCTTGGAAGTGGACTCGTTGTACTCCGTGGGAGAGTTTGTGTGGCGCCGTGTGTGGTATCTTGGAGTAAATGCGGTGACTTGCACACCTTCATGATCCAGCTCCCCACGGTTCAGTCTTCATGCCTCTCCACTGGTTCTTGAATATGCTTGGAGCTCCCCACTCAGGGAATACGCACCTTTTGCTCTTCCACAGGGAACACTCCTTCCTCCCGCTTACATCACCACGGCTGGTCCTCACCTCCTTTAGGTGTTTCCTCAGCTGAAATCTTTTTTTTTTTTTTTTTTTTTTTTTTGAGACGGAGATTTGATCTTGTAGCCCAGGCTGGACTACAGTGGCACAATGTTGGCTCATTGCACCCTCTGCCTCCTGGGTTCAGGCGATTCTCTTGCCTCAGTCTTCTAAGTAGCTGGAATTACAGGTGCCAGCCACCATGCCTGGCTAATTTTGTATTTTTAGTAGAGATGGGGTTTCACTATGTTGGCCAGGCTGGTCTCGAACTCTTGATCTCAGGTGATCCACTGCCTCAGCCTCCCAAAGTGCTAGGATTACAGGCATGAGCCACTGTGCCCGACCCTTCAGCTGGAATGTTAGACCTTCACAATTTACCCAATTGGGGATTCCATCCCTTCAGATACTCCCTATCTCTCCTCTCTATTTTAACAAGTTTATTTAACAGACTTTATGTTTTAGAGCAGTCTTAGATTATTTAGATTCAAAGCAAATTTGAGCAGAAAGTATAGAGTTCTCCCGTTACCCTCTTCTTACCCTACAAAATTCCACACTGTCACATCCCCCACCAGAGGCGCATGTTCGTTCCAGTCAATGAGCCTACATTCATACGTCATTGTCAGCCAAGGCCATGGTTTACACTGAATTCACTCTTGGTATCAAACCTTCTATGGGTTTTAACAAATATATAATAAGGACACTTATCCACTAAAATTCACTCCCTAAAAATCCCCTGTGCTTCACCTGTTGATAACTTTCTCCTTCAGAACCCCTGGGAAACATGGCCTTGTTACTATCTTTATAGTGTTGCCTCTTCCAGAATGTCATAGAACTGGAATAACATAGAATGCAGATCTTTCAGACTGGCATCTTTCACTTTGCAACATGCAGTTAGGGGTGTGTGTGTGTGTGTGTGTGTGTGTGTGTGTTGAGACAGAGTCTCACTCTGTCGCCCAGGGTGGAATGCAATGATGAAATCTTGGCTCACTGCAACCTCTGCCTCCCGGGTTCAAGCAATTATCCTGCCTCAGTCTCCCAAGTAGCTAAGACTACAGGTACCCGCCATCATGCCCGGCTAATTTTTGCATTTTTAGTAGAGATGGCGTTGGCCAGGCTGGCCTCGAACTCCTGACCTCAGGTGATCGACCTGCCTCAGCCTTCCAAACTGCTGGGATTACAGGCATGAACCATTGCGCTCAGCCCTTCTGTGTGTTTTAATGAATTGATAGCTCATTTCTTTTTAGCACTGAGTAAAATTCAATTATAAGGATGTATCAGAGTTTATGTATTCATCTACTTGGTTGCTTTCAGCCCTTTTGTTTTATTGTCTCCATAATACTTATAACTATCTAACATACTCTTTACTCGGTTAATTTTTGTAGTGCCAACCTTCCTAACTCTAGTATAGCTTTCATGAAGTTAGGGGTTTCTCTGCACCTAGAACAGTGCCTGCTAGTGCATAGTAGATGCTTGAGAAGTTTATATTCAACGAAGGAATAATAGAAAGATATTTCCCAACAGGTATGAAATTTATCTCCAATTAAATGCCACGACAAAATAAATAAAGTCAATTGATAGCTATTTGAAGGCCACAGAAAATATCTAGCAAAGATAGATCTAAAGTACTTAACCCACTGCCTAGAACATAGTAAGGATTCTTCAGATATTTGCTTTCTGTGAAAATGTGAGCTCCCTGAGGAACTCCATCTGTCTTCTGTGTATTCTGGGCACCAAAACAAAGCCTGGCACATGATGGGTGACCCAGTAATATTTTGGGGTGGATAAGTAATATATCTCATTCTAATGGTTTTTTATTTAATGTTTCATTAATTTACCTGTCAGGTGCTGTTAGTGAATCAAAGGGGTGTTTAATCATAATTTATTTTTGAAATAATGACTTAAACACAACCAAAATTTACCTTGCTGTTTGGTCCGTATTCAACTGTAATTTTACCACTGAAATCTAAAAAATAACATTATAATTTCATCTTTTCCATGGGTGTTGATAGTGTAATACATTTTTAAAGCAATGTAAAAAAAGATCCATTTATGTGCAAACGTTTTGTGAATGTATCACATGCTGGGGAAACGTTCTAAAAGTGAAGAGAGATAGATGAATGTCCTCAATGGCTATGGATTTTGAATGGCTGTAGGCTTTGTAAAATTAAAACGAAATAAAATAGTCCTCTTCTAGAAGCAGCAGATGTGGAAAATCTCAGTAAAGACAAAATCGGATGACAGAGAATTGTTTAATAGATGCATCCTCTTGTCGTGAACCAAAAAAAAGTTGAGAACAAGAGAGCCTCTATCTTGTTGAGGCAGTAAGGAAGGACATATTTTGTGAAGGGAATATACAACATCTTTATGGATGAATATAGCGTATTATATATGCGGGAAGTCTAGAAACTTACCCATCGCTGTTTACATCTGATATGACCACGGTATATCCAAAATAAGATGCCATCTGCAAAGGAAAACCAGGAGATGACATTTTATGTCCAAAAAGTCATTTTTGTAGTTATGTTTCCATTATCCCTGAAAGATTCATCTCATTGTGGTGCATTTTTTGCTTTTAAATTCATAGACTCTTGGACATGGCCAAGGTCCTTGAGTTATTTAGTCTAACCCCTGCCCCAGTGAATAATTTTCCCCAGAATAACTCTGACATCCGCTTGGACATCCTCTGCGGATGTTCAACAATCAGCCCATTTAATTTGTGGACGCAACTATCAGAATGTTCACTGCTAAATTTGGCCCTTCCATGACTTCTAGCACTTAATCCCACCAAGTTTTGCAATCTCGAATCTCACAGAATGAATCTAATTCCACTTCCATATGATGTTGTATGAAAATATCTTCAGGCCAGGTGTGGTGGCTCATGTTGGTAATCCCAGCACTCTGGGAGGCCCAGGCAGGAGGGTCGCTTGAGTCCAGGAGTTCAAGACCAACCTGGGCAACATGGTGAGACCACATCTCTACCAAAAATAAAACACAGTTAGCAGGGCGTGGTGGCATGTGTAGTCCCAGCTACTTGGGAGGCTGAGGTGGGAGGATTGCCTGAGCTGGGGGAGGTCATGGCTGCAGCTGCAGTGATCTGAGATTATGCAACTACACTGCAGCCTGGGTGACAGAGAAAGGTCCTGTCTCAAAGAAAAGAAAATATTTTCACTTGGTTCACCATCTGACTTCTCTGTCTTAGACAGATGATGTGTGGTGCCAAAACACCAATGACACTTGCGAGTGCACTGATGATAAGAGAAGAGTTAGGTAGGATTTGCGTTTCCTGCGTCGGAGGAAGCATTACAAGTTTATACGTTGGGGAAACCCATGTCTCAGTATCAATTTGTATTGTGCTCATAGTCAACAAAAGCTCCTAAATCTTTTCCATGAGTGTACGTAGTGTACCAGTCTCCCCACATTTTATTTTTATTTTGTATATTTTTTGAGATGGAGTTTCACTCTTGTTGCCCAGGCTGGAGTGCAGTGGTGCAATCTTGGCTCACTGCAACCTCCACCTCCCGGGTTTAGGCGATTCTCCTGCCTCAGCCTCCCAAGTAGCTGGGATTACAGGTACCCACTACCATGCCCAGCTCAGGTGATGCCTGACCTCAGGTGATCCACCCGCTTGGCCTCCCAAAGTGCTGGGATTATAGGTGTGAGCCACCGTGCCTGGCCTCTCTGCATATTATCTCAGAAGTTTTTTTTTTTTTTTTTTTTTTTTTTGAGACGGAGTTTCGCTCTTGTTACCCAGGCTGGAGTGTAGTGGTGCGATCTCGGCTCACCACAATCTCCGCCTCCTGGGTTCAGGCAATTCTCCTGCCTCAGCCTCCTGAGTAGCTGGGATTACAGGCACGCGCCACCATGCCCAGCTAATTTTTTGTATTTTTAGTAGAGACGGGGTTTCACCATGTTGACCAGGATGGTCTCAATCTCTCGACCTCGTGATCCACCTGCCTCGGCCTCCCAAAGTGCTGGGATTACAAGCTTGAGCCACCGCGCCCGGCCAGAAGTATTTTTTTTAAACCTACGTTTTTGAATTTATATAATCTTTTCAGGATTTATACTCTCATCAGATTTGACCCATAGTTCCAGCTTGCCAATTTTGTTTCCATAGTGTGCCAGGCAGTGTTTTAGATGACATAGTTTTCCATCATGTCCTCATGTAATGAACATACAATCCCTTAGAAAGCGTGTTCACCAGGGTGCAGAGGCTTTGGTCTGTGTGGTTTACTGCTCTATTTGAACTTTCTGAGCAGTGTCCGGATCAAAGTAGGTGCCAGGTGCCAAATGCTCTTTGCAGAGAAAATAAATACGTGAGTCGGCAAGTGGCATGGATCAAGTCAATTCTCACACCTCTTTTCTCTGTTACAAACATACACAGTGAAATTCTTTTTTTTTTTTTTTTTTTTTTTTTTTTTTTTTTTTTTTTGCTGTGGTATGTGGCCTTCACTCCGAGGAATGTCCCCATTTATGTATTAGCTTCTAAGGTTCAGGATGACAGAACTGGGTGGGATTGATGACAAGAAGTTATAGAAAGGCTAAATGTAGCAATGTTTAAAAAGTTTCTAATAATAAAGGACTGCAATAACAGATCTGGGCAAAGAGAAGCATTGCTCGATTCTCATTTGCTTAGTAATTACCACCACTTAGAAACAGTTGTTTGAAATAGTTGTTCAGTATCTATTCAACTGAAGTCTTACTTCTCCAAATCTTCCAAAAGAATATCAGGAGATGTAAAATGCTTTGTTGAAAATTTCAGAGTGATAGACTAAAACCCCAAATTATAGCAAAAAGATGTCAAAATCATTTTGTATTTAAAACTTGCTTCTTTCTTTCTTTCTTTCTTTCTTTTTTTTTTTTCAGACACAGCAGTCTCACTATGTTGCCCAGGCTGGTCATGAACTCCTGGTCCTCAAGCGATCCTCCTGCCTCGGCCTTCCACACTGCTGGGATTACAGGTATGAGCCACATTTCTTTAAATACTGAATTGGTACTTCCATCTAAGGGAAGCCAGTTGTGAATTGATTTTGTTTCTCCAGACAATCGATTTTCTCTACTCTTCAAATTAACATGGTTAATTTTAAATTTATTACTTTCACAGTTTTGTACATATGTAGTTTTACATGAAGTGTATAGTTTGTAGTCACATGTAAGTTACAAACACAAGGATTTCCTTTGTTTTAGATTTGTCCTGCATTCAAACATGGAGAACTGAATCTCTATATTACTGAACTAGATATGCAATAGTACACGTATTTGGATGCATCTCAAATTATAGAAGATTTAGTGGCACATGGGAATTTAGTAGCTTTCATTTAATCAAAAGGAAGGAGACAGGAAATGGGATGGAAAGGAATTAACATTTGTTGCGGAGTTGTTATATGCCAGGAAATCTTCTAAGTAATCTACAATCCTTGATTTATTTCATTCTTAAAGGGAGCTTGAAAGAGAAACATTTTATTCTTATTTTGCAAAGAGGCTCAAAGAGGTCAGGTGATTTTCCTGTGGTCTCACGTGGTTCATGAGTGGTGTGATGGCAACTGGAAGTCTGATCTGTTCCCTGCAGAAGTCCAGGCCCTTTTTACAGTGACCTTCTTCCCATATCTTACATCAACACCTTCAGGCATTTATAGACTATTGAAAGATTAATTTAATACAGAACTGCTTCCCATTGTTCTTAGAAAAGAATCCCTAGTCCCAAACACGGCCCACCTTCCCAACCAGTCTCCCTTGAGTAGCCCCCGGCACCCCGTCCTCAGCTCCTACGTCTCTCTTGCTTACAGAGCCTATGACCTTCGCTCTGCTCTTCCCACATATCCCGCTGGCTCTTGTTAGAAAGCGTTCATATTAGCCTTCCCTTGCCTGGAAGGCTCTAGATAAGATGGCATCGTTGGCTCTGTCTTGTCATTCACATCTCCGCCCAGACACTGCCATCTCAGAGGCCTCCCTGATCACCCCATCTAAGGGCTTTTTTGACACCTCCCTCCCAGCTTATATCGCTCAGTTTTATTTTCTTTGAATCATGGTTCACAATCTGAAATTATCATGAACATTTATTTGCTTGTTAATAAACTGTCCCTTCCCCTCCCTCCCCTGCCACTCACTGCTGCCTGAGAGCTAGGTAGGATCTGCCTGACACATGCTTGCATTCCTAGTGCCTAGGACAGTTTCCAGTACATAGTAGCTGCTCATTAAATAATTGTTGAATGGATGAATAACTGATAAGAACATTATAGTCTGCTAGTAACTCAGAGTGATTTTACTTATTTGGTATTAAAATGTTTCCAGATTTTTTAATGATCGCCATTCTAACTGGTATTCATTAAAACATCTGGAAATATTTAGTATGCACCTAAAGTTAAATAAATAATTTTTTTTAAAAAAGAAAAAAATGTTTCTACCTGTTCGCCAGTGAAATTCTGAATAAAGGTCATATCTGTAGAGTTAATGATTGAGACCTGAAATCATAGAAATTAAACAGGTTATACCATTTGACATAGAATTGGAGCCATTTAAAAAAATTACAACTTGAATCATTTAAATTTTTTTTGTAAAGTGTGATAAGTGGTTAGCTAAATGTAAAACAAAAACAGAAGCCCACCGAATGATCTTATTTAAAAAAAAAAAAGCTAAATGAACTTTCTGTTTATGGTTAAGTCTGGGATGCTTTTAGACAAAATGTATGCTTATTCATCTGAGCTGGAGCAATAAAAGTTGAATTCAGGAATATTGAGGGCAATTAACTTGATAGTTGATTTAATGAGGATTTTTGGCTAAATCCATTTCTGTTGCTATTATAAATGGATAATTACGGTTCTTTGCAAGAAAAATTAGATTTTAAAATTTTGTCATGCTATCCACATGGCAAAAATATTCCTTTTAATTCTACTTAGCCAACCACAATGCTTGCTAGATACTTTTGTAAATGATGAACTTTATTTCAAATATGCTTTTCTTTCATGAGATCTATTTAGTTGCTTTTTCTAATTTCATTGTAATGGGTTTGAACGATATTGCCCCAATATTCATGTCTACCCAGAACGTCAGAATGTGACTTTATTTGGAATTAAGGTATTTGCCAATGAAATCAGTTAAGGATCTCAAGATGAAATCATCTGGTAAGCTGTAAATTTGATGACTGGTGTCATCATTTTTATAAGGACAACTGATGTCATCATTTTATAAGGACAACTAATGTCCTTATAAAAGGAGAAGACACATGTAGACATAGAGGGCAGAAGGCCACACAGGGATGGAGGCAGAGACTGGTGGGATGTTGCCACAAGCCAAGCAATGTGAGGGACCGTCAGAGGCTGAAAGGGGCCATCTATGATAGAAGCCTCCTATCACAGATGCTCTGGTGAGAACATGGTTCTGCCCACAACTTGATGTCAGACTTCTGACCTCCAGAACGGTGAGTGAATGAATTTATGTGGTTTAAAGCCATCCAGTTTGTGATTCTATGTTATAGCAGTCTTAGGAAACTAACAGATAATAAATTCACAATTAATTAAATTTAATGTTAAATCAAATAATTCAATTAATTAAAATAATGCAAATAACAATTGCTTTTATTTCTACTGTATGAGATGTATTAAGGTATTCATCATAACCATGGCATTATCCACTATTATTCTGAGATTATGCCCCTAGGTAGGATGAGCTTTGTGGGTTGTGACTTGCACAGTCACACAAGGCCCTGCGCTTAGATGGGTCCCACCCTTGGTTTAATGCACTGCTGCTGCTGTTCGGAAATTTTTAATGATTTTTGAACAAGGGACCTGTGTTTCATTTTGTTGTAATTACGTAGTTGGTTCTGCACATGGATCAGAACAAATCTACTCTGACTTGTTTTCCTTTCTTTTTTGTAAGCAAGCAGCGTGAATTATGAGGAGGAACTCCTTAAAAAACTCCAGGGTTTTTTTTTTTTTTTTTTCAATTATATTTTAAGTTCTGGGATACATGTGCGGATCATGCAGGTTTGTTACATAGGTATACATATGCCGTGGTGGTTTGCTGCATCTATCCCCTCTCATCTACATTAGGTATTTCTCCTAATGCTTCCTCTCCGCAATCCCCCAAACCCCTGCTATCCCTCCCCTACCCACCTCCATCCCGACAGGCCCCAGTGTGTAATGTTCCCCTCCCTGTGTCCGTGTGTTTTAAAAGACCTAAAAGTTGCATAAAACAAAACATTTGAGTATACAGATGGTCATTAAATTATGATGGTTCAACTGACAAAGGTTCAAAAGTGATAGACATTCTGTAATAATCATACTTTGAATTTTGAGTTTTGATCTTTTCCCAGACTAGCAATATGTGATATGATACTCTGACCTGAGATATCAATACTTTGTTATACGATAGGCTTTGTGTTAGATGTTTTCATCCAACTGTGGACTAATGTGAGTGTTCTGAGCATGTTTAAGGTAGGTTACGTAAGCTGTGATGTTTGGTGGGTAGGTGTGTTAAATGTGTTTTTAACTTACAGTATTTTCCATTTATGATGGGTTTATCAGGATGTAATTCCATCAAGGAGCATCTATACAAGAAAATATCCTATTTCTATAAGGTATTCTCAGTACTCACATATCCAAAATTCTGTGCTCCTCTTGGAACTCCAGCAACCAATTCTGGGGAAGAAAATAGTCATTTAGAAGGGGCATTACATACATGTAATCATATAATCATATAATAAATAAGTAGTAAAGACAGTGCTTTTAAAATGACTGGCTATCATATAGAGCAGGGGTCCCCAAGTCCCAGGCCACCAACCAGTACCAGTACCTGTCTGTGGCCTGTTAGGAGCACAGATGAGCCAGAACAAAGCTTCATCTGTATTTACAGCCACTCCCCATCACTCTCATTACAGCCTGAGCTCCGCCTCCTGTCAGATCAGTGGAGGCATTAGATTCTCATAAGAGCTTGAACCCTATTGAGAACTGCTCATGCAAGGGATCTAGGTTGCATGCTCCTCATGAGAATCGAACTAATGCGTGATGACCTGAGGTGAAACAGTTTCATCCCAAAACCATCCTTCATCCACCCGCCCCCACCATCTGTGGAAAAATTGTCTTCCATGAAACTGGTCCCTGGTAGCAAAAAGGTTGCGGATTGCTGATGTAGAGGCTTGGAAGTTTGAAGTCAGGGCTTTGTATTTACTGTTCCATTAGCCTTTGTTTCTTCTCCAGATAATAGAAAACAGAAAGCCAGAAGTCATACGTTGTCATACTTTGAGATTTATGTCTTCATTAAGAGTCTCTCTGCACCTCTGTCTCTAGATCCTGAGTCTGGCTTCTTGGGTCTGCGGGCGATTTATAAGTTAGACCTCTTACTCTGATTCTTCCAGCTTTTACTGTGGTGACATCTTTAGTACTAGTATAAAAATTACCATTCTGGTTCCAGAACTTAGAGTCAAGGGAGGGAATGGGATCAGGTGTGAAGCAGAGAGGGGAGTCTTGGACAGGAATGTAGGTGATTCATCTACAGCAGGAGGACCGCAGGGAGGCTTGCTCCTAAATCATAACACAGGGTTCAGAAAAACTAAGTTATCTGGATAGACTGCCAGGAAAGTTGACGGAACTGGTAGTACCCTGTCCAGTTTTCAATAATCGTTATTTGGTATAAATTAAGTTCTCTTGGCATGAAAAACAAACTACAATCAGATATAATAAGGTTGACTGATTTAGGGTCAGGCCAGTTGGTGAGGACAGATCCTAGAGGATTGGGCCATTTGAGAACATAGCAACCACAACTTCTCCCATCACACAAACATCAGGAATTTTGTTTTTAAAATATCTGTGGTCCCACCATCACAGTTACAATCAGTAACTGTGGAGTCTGCAATCTCATATGACCACAATGCTAAGGAGTTCTTAAATGTAATATTGAGTAAAGATGCTCACAATTTTAAAATACATGATCAGGACAGCTTAATTGCTTGGGGTCCAAGGCAAGTCTGAGCTGTCACTCAACTACAAAAATAGTCAGTTGGAAGGAAAAATAGGAGACTTTTCCCTATCAATAACTCAAGGTAAAATCTTCAGGAGGTTTTTTTGTTTTTTGTTTTTTAAAAGAGGGTGTCACTCTGTCACCCAGTCTGGAGTGTACTGGAGTGTAGTGGCACTATAATCACGGCTCACTGCAGCCTCAACTTCCTGGGCTCAAGCCATTCTCCTACCCCAGCTTCCTGAGTAGCAAAGTCACCATTTTTTCCAACACATCAAATTCCTGGAATTGGTTAGGGACAGATTACTTTCTTGGGTTTTAGCTCACTACATCTCACTCTAAAGTGGTAACAAAGGCTCTTAACCTTTTCTGAGTCACAACATGTATGAAAACTGAAAGAAATCTATGGATCCTCTTGTCAGAATATTGCATGTAATTTTTAGGGGTTCCAATCCAGTGAAGCCCATCCAGGTACCACCCAGCAGTGTGAGGATCCATATTAAGAATCCACCATCTAGAGGCCATTGAAGTGGTCACTGTTTTGTTTTGTTTTGTTTTGTTTTGTTTTTTTAAATATAATTTGAATTCCCCGTTGTCTAATTAAGTAAATCGTGAACATGCACAGTCTTAGGCTCGTAGTGGTCTGGTGAGATGATTGTGAAGTTCCTTGATAGTGCTTTTATCCTCAAAACACTTAAAACGCAAATCTGTTTTTCAGATATTTCTGAGATCTGATGGAAAATCACTACTGTGTTCTACCATCTTTCCCTGCAGTATACTCTTATGCATCATTATTTACTTTCTTGGGTGAAAACTGAACGCCATTCTGGAGAGCTTTCCAACAAGACTCTTTTGTTTGTTTGTTTGTTTTGAGATGGGGTCTTAGTTTCTTACCCAGCACTGGAGTGCAGTGGTGCAATCATAATTCACTTCCACCTTGACCTTCCAGGGTCAAGCGATCCTCCTGCCTCAGCTTCCTATGCTTGACGCCAGAGTAAGTAGCTGGGACTACAGGTGCATGCCACTATGCCCAGCTAAGTTTTGTATTTTTGAGAGGAGGTCTCACTGTGTTGCCCAGGCTGGTATGCCCAGGCTGTATTTTTGAGAGGAGGTCTCACTGTGTTGCCCAGGCTGGTATGCCCAGGCTGTATTTTTGAGAGGAGGTCTCACTGTGTTGACCTAACTCCTGAGCTCAGGCAGTTCTCCCACCTTGGCCTCACAAAGTGCTGGGATTATAGGCATGAGCCACCACACCCAGTCTAACATACTCCTAATGCCATTTAAAAAAATAATAATAATTCGGCATGTTTTATAGTTTCCTTTGTTACATTTTTAGTGATTTTAAGATTTGGCCATTTTTTAAGGTACTAGTTATTCAGTACTATCTTTGCTGCTTCCTAATTCAGTTGTTCTTATTACAGCCAACAGCACTTTTTAGAGAGCAGGCATTGCCCTGTTTTATGGATACAGTTAAGTCATTTAATCTCACAAGAACCCTATGAGGTAGACAGTAGTATTAGCAACATCATCCTTATTTTAGGAATGGAAAAAAATTGGAGGCACTAAGATGCTAGGTAACTTGTCCAAGGTCACAGAGACAGTAAGTAGTGCAGTCAGGGTTTAAACCCAAGAGGTCTGGCTCCAGAGTCCAGGCTCTTAAGCATTACAATATACAAAATACTTTTTAATACCTTGAAAAAAGGACAAGTTCTTTACGAATTAGTTTGTACCTAAAAGAAAAATATTATTTGAAAGAAAAAAAAGCACCCGATTATCTTCAACCTGAGCTGTAAAACTTTATGATGTTCTTCTTTGTATATCTTGTCAACATGAAACTATGAAAAGATCTGTGATGATTCCTAGAGGTGATCATATTTCATTTATTCCTAATTATTTGTGAATGAAACCACTTGCATTAGTGAAATGCAGTCAATGTTCATAGGAAACAAGATGGAAAATGATAAATACTGATTGATGATTGACTCATTCAATAAATATTACCAGTTAAGTAAAAGCTCCCATTTATTGCCTGGTATCTAGGTATTTTGCATGCATTAGCTCATGCAATCTTCAGAACATTATTTTGAGTTAGTTAACATTAGTGTCATTTAAAGATAAGCAAATAAGAATCAGGGAGGTTTTCATAGCCTCAGGAATAGAAAGTCTGTACAGTCAGAACTTGAACCTATGTGGATCTCAATTCCAAAGATTCAACTTATTTCTGTCAGGCTGTTTCCCGTATGAGTCTATTATGAGCAACATGTGGTCTGGTCTTTGTAAGGAAGATAAATAAGAACAATACATAACAATACATAGATCTTGCCTTCAAGGAGAGGGATGTGAAAAGTAATACATATGATATCATTCTTCCTTACTCTCATCTCAACCAAATCTACATGAGGCAGCCAGTCTGATTTGTTCTCTTTTTTTCGTTTAGAATATGAGCATAATAGCATCATATTTACTCCCCAGCTTAACCCTTTCATGTCTTCTCCCCTGCATGTTGAATGTATCCCAGAATCATTTCCATTACCCATAAAAGCAGACATGATCTGAACCCAGACCTTTCTCGAAGCCAATTTCATTTCACTACCAAAGTCTGGCAGTCAGACTGAGGTCCTTGAACACCCTCATTTTCCACACACTTTAGAATATAGAAGTTGGTCCCTGCCCCTATGTCTGTCCACCCCTTTCCCCGATCATCCCAGGCTCCGTTCAAATGTTTTCTCAACACCAAAGCTGTCCTTACTCTATCTTTAGAACTTTATCCTAGCACTTATCATAATTTAATTAGATATTCTGCATTCATTATTTCATGTTGATCAGCCGCAGTAGAAGACAGTCACAGCAAAGTAGAGAAGACAGGACATATGGGGTATATAGGAGATAGGGATTCATTTGTTCTGTTATTTGGGGTTTGGGTATGTTCAAAGAGGAAAAGTTAAGGCAGGGATGTTGGATTGGAGTTGGTTGGGAAGAGTAATTTTGGACGTGTCTGATAGGAGAGGTACTAGAAATGAAAGTTAAATTCATTTAACTTGGGATCTTAATTTCACAAAATTGATCTGCCACTAACAGCACGGCATTTAATCATCTGTATTTTTCATTCATAACATGGGACTATGACCCTAATTTTTGGCTGCTTAACTAGATTTTATAAAGTTGATTATTTGTTCTTATGAAATTATTTGAGACCTAAAATGCTGTACCAAAGCATTTTTTCTACAAAATATTATGTACATTCTGGGATTCCATTAATCTACCTTTTCTATAGCAAACAAAATCACATTGAAAAAAACCTTTTTATGTATTTTACCATTTCCCCATGCTTTGCAAATGATTTAAACTCAACAATGTCTCTCACCTTGCTGAGAATCCCCAGTAAACTCCCCAGCAGCAACTGAATATCCTGTTTTAAAGAAAAGAAACGAGTTCGTGGAGTGTAAATTAGTTCATCCATTGTGGAAGACAATGTGGCAATTCCTGAAGAATCTAGAACTAGAAATACCATTTGACCCAGCAATCCCATTACTGGGCATATACCCAAAGGATTATAAACCATTCTGTTATAAAGACACATGTACACACATGTTTATTGCGGCACTGTTCAAAATAGCAAAGACTTGGAACCAAACCAGATGCCCATCAATGATAGACTGGATAAAGAGAATGTGGCACATATACACCATGGAATATATACCCGCATAAAAAATGATGAGTTCATGTCCTTTGCAGGGACATGGATGAAGCTGAAAACCATCATTCTCAGCAAACTGACACAAGAACAGAAAACCAAACACTGCATGTTCTCACTCGTAAGTGGGTGTTGAACAATCAGAACATGTGGACACAGGGAGGGGAACATCACACACCAGGGCCTCTGAGGGGGTCAGGGGGGCTAGGGGAAGGATAGCAGGAAATGGGGGGATAGGAGGAATAGCATTAGGAAAAATAGCTAACGTAGATGATGGGGTGATGGATACAGCAAACCACTCTGGTATGTGTATACCTATGTAACAAATCTGCACGTTCTGCACATGTACCCCAGAACTTAAAGTATATGTATATAAAAAGAAACACACTAATCACACTTGATGACATCACCAAATTAGTTATATCTAGAAAAAGGTAAAAGGGCTTCCATGGTACTGCTTTATTTAGAAATCTCTAGACATATTATAAAATAAAAATTAAAGATTCTATGATGGAAAAATTAATCACACCAAATTAAACACTTTTATACTAAATCTTGAATGTATAATAGATCATCTACTACTTATCTTAAGTAGGAGCATAGCAAAAACAAAAAAAGAGAGAGAGAGATTCTGAGGTCAATTTTAAAAGCATGGATGCTTCATAATCCACCTTAAGTGTAAATGGTGGCTGTTGCATTTTAAGAGCTGCTGATTCAAAAACAGACAGAATACTCTGAAAGATTTCCTTTGGGCTCAGGTTTTGTTATTTCTGGTCACCAGCAAGACCTCCTTCCTAATACCTTTCCTCATGGTTTTCCACAATTTCATTTAGCTCTAAAGTGAGGTGCTGGCTACCTTGACAAAACATAGCTACAGTTCTTTTTCAAATTCATCAAGCAATCAAAAGGCCACCAGGATACCAAAGGTGGGAAACAGTAGTGGTGAAGTGACATTGTGTGGTTTGCACATAATACAGTTGGAGAATATTCTAGCAAATGGAACTTCTCTTGTGCTGTTCTGTAAACTGGAGAAGGTTGCTATCATGCTGTCCCTGTCACACTGGTAGCAGCCCCGCTAATACATAGTGTCTACTACTGATGAAGTGGTTCGTGTGGAAAAGACTGCTATGGAGCCAACAAAATAGCTGTACAAATTATGTATTACACATCATGGCTGGAAAAATAGCAGTATTAAAAAGAAAAATCAAAAGTCCACTCTAATAAGAGAACATTTGTGTAAGATGCCAAATAACATGGGGTAAGTCAGGGATAAAATCTGCAACTACATTTACTAGGTTTGTCTTTTGAAAAACCACAAATGTCTTCAGCAAGGCGTCTTACCAAGGTAGCTGTCATCATAGGAAGCTGGAGCCACTTCCGTCTGCTTTTCTCCTGCCAGTTTCCTGAGGATATCCTTGAATGAGTAATTTGCAATGATATCTGCAACACTGGCAGTGATGACTTGACCTGTGTTTAAACAAATTCATATGTTAACTAAATGAATGCAAGAGGCGGGCCCTCCCTGAGCAGACACACATTCCCTTGAAAGCTGTTGTAGAATTGCTTGCTTTTTTGATGATGAGTTTTCCTACCTGCCACTAGAACTCCAAGGCACAGTTAGTTACAACTGAGTAGAACTTTCCATTCTGACAGAAGACCAGAGATGAACTACAATACTGCATGGGTCTTCCTGCTGCTTTCAACATACACACACTCTCTACTTCCAAATGATAAAAGTATCTAAGAGTGGAGGCCAAATTTGCAGGCAAAATTTATGTGATGTAATTTTTATTCTGGAATATTCCAGTTGGAAGGAAGCTTTGAGATCATTTAGTCAAATATAGCTTATTCTAGGTGGAGAGACTCGGGCCCAAAGAGCTAGAGTGCTTTCTCTAAGGTCACATGGTTTTGCAAGTAGGGCATCAGGCATTACAACCAGCGTCTCCTTTGGCATTCTAATGAAACTTCTTGTGCTCTTGCAAAGTATAGGTATTGTGTTCAATCACGTATTCTGTGAATAGATGATAAAATGTATCAGCTAAGTTAAATGAAGGAATTATAAAATCTCTGAGCCATCTGCTTTTCTTGCTAAAATATAGAGAGAGCATAAAATTATGACAATGGGAAGCAGCTAGGTCCAATGAGATCCAAAATTCAGCAAAAGAGAAATCCATCAGCACCAACACTGATACAATATGAACTTTGGCTAATCTCTCTTAAAAGTCCCTCTCAGAAATCTTGAAATAAGATTGCATTGGGGTAGACAGGTACCTAAAAGACAGCCAGCAATTTCCACTGCAATTTCTATGCATTTCCATGTTTACCATGGACAACTAAAGCAAAGTGTGATGTCATGTTCTTTGGGAGAAAACTGAAGAAATGCTTTCAAAAGATTAACATGTAACATTAATTTGAAAGCTGAATTCGTCTTTGGGAATTCATACATAATTCCCACAGTCTTTCTGTTGGAAGTCCGCAAAGAATAAAGCCATGAAACCAGATCATAAATATTTCCAGGTGACTGGAACTGAAATGACTATTCTGATACTAAGACAGTGGTATTTACACATAAGTTTCTGAACACTGTCTGTAGAATTAGCCAGTTTTCTCTGGGTTGGAACTAAATACCCTCTTTCCCCCATCCTGCATACACACTGCATTTTCGGTTTCCCTTAGCTATGTCTATCAACATTATAATCTTAAACCTGAATAAAATTGTAAATCCTATGTCTCAATCATATGTTTGTATATGCCATTGCTGTGGCAAATTTTTAGCAAATAATTTGTCTCAGACATTTTTTCAGTTTAGGGAAAAGAATAGATTATGTGAAATTGACCATGTGAATTAGAAGAAAACTTTCTATAAATATAATTTTAATTTTGTAGCCATCTGTTGTATAAAATACATAGTTTTTCAGTTTGCAAAGTAATTTTTAGATACCAAAATGTTAATTATTGATGTTTATAATTGTATATGCATGAATTGAGCTTAACATTAACTTCATATAAAATTTCATCATAAATCGGCCAGGCACAGTGGCTCACACCTGTGAGCACTTTGGGAGGCCGAGGTGGGTGGATCATGAGGGCAGCCTGACCAACATGGTAAAACCCTGTCTCTACTAAAAATAAGAAATTAGCCGGGCATGGCCTGTAATCCCAGCTGCTCAGGAGGCTGAGGCAGGAGAATCGCTCGAACCCGGGAGGCACAGGTTTCGGTGAGCCAATATCACGTCACTATACTCCAGCCTGGGCGACAGAGCAAGATTCTGTCTCAAAAAAAAAAAAAAAAAAATCATAAATCTATCTCTCTTGGATCTTTCTCATTGCCTTATAAACGTGATCAAGTTTCTTCCATTAAAAAATTTCCTCCCTCAACTATTAATCTCAGATTCTACTCTGTCCTGAACTTTACAGCCCAAATTACAAAATATTCTCAGTATTCTCTCTCTCGGCCTCCCATCGATACTTGTGGCCTCAGTTATAACCAGAATGCAAGTAATGAAAATATAGACTTCACTCTAGATGTCCTCTGAGCGTAAGCCCTAAATACTTAGGTGAAACCCTTTAGGTATCTCAAATATTTTCATACCCAACAGAACAGAAACTAAACTCATCATCTTCCCTCTCCAACCAGGTCCAAACCTGGCCTCTTTCAGTGTTCTCTATCTCAGTGAGTGGCACCAACCTACAACCATTCAGTTGCAGGCTTCAGAAACATTCCCTTACCACCTCTCTTCCCTTACCACCATATGGCCGACCCATCATTTAGGCTGCTTATTTTGCCTCCAAAATATTTCTCAAATTTCTCTTCTTTTTCAGTCTGTACCATCATCACACTAAGAAACAGACATGTTTACCTGAAACTTACACAGCTTGTTTACCTTATAAACGTAAAATTAGTTTATATCCTTGTAACAGCCTTGGAACTACTTTGCTGATATTTCACCTTGGCCAGCTTTTAGTTTGTTTTCTGTAACACAGCCAGAATGATCTTTTCAAAACATAAATTCAACTGCAGCACTCCATGCTTAAAATTATTTCATAGGTTCTCACTACACTCAGGACAAACAACACCTTCTTACTCTAGCTAGAGCCATCTATCTATTTATACTCTTAAAATCCCCCAGTGGTTTCCCCTAGTTTGTAGAATAAAAACTGCTTAACATGGTCCGCAAGCTTGCAATCTGAAACCTGAATAAAATTTTTAACTTCCATGTCTCAGGCAAATGCTTCTATATGCCATTGTATGGCAAATTTTTCAGCAAATCATTTGTAGACAACATTTTTTCAACTTAAAGAATGGATGATGTGAAATTGACACTGTTAACATCTCTTCTGTTAATTTCACATCACCCATTCTTTTGTGAAATTATGGGGCCACTCCATACCACCCTGGCACATCTTCCCTCACTCTTTCAACACTGGTCACCTTTCCTCTGTTCTCACCTACACGGCCCTCCTGCGTCCCACAGAACATCTGCACAGGGTCCCTCCTCTCTTCACGTAAGTAACTCCTACATAAGGTGCAGATCTCAGTTGAGGGTTGCTTGCTTTCCACGTTAGTTAACTTTTGGGCTGCCGTTGGCCTATCCAGCACCTTGACAAGAATTAGAGGACGCCATTCCCTATGGGCAGATGCCGTCTGTACCTGAGTTCATGACGCTTTAAGCAGAGCACAGGTTGTAGTCCAGCTCCCTGTCAGTCAATGGTCAGAGGACAAACACACCTAACCACAGTCACCCTGGAGAAGCCTCCTTCTCTTGGCCCTATCACCATATGCCTTTGCTTTGGAATGTGTATCACCGTTGGGGTCTCTTGGGTACTCCTGTGAGTGTTCGATTAATGCCTGCTATCATTCTCCAGATATTAACCTCCACGACAGTAAGAACAACATTTGTTTTTACTCAATAATGTGTCCCCAGCATCTAGCACTGAGCTTGGCAGAGCCTCAGCACATTCTTGATGGACAAATGAATTATTAAGTAGCAAGAGCATTTTAAAATATCATTTACATTATAGAGTAACAGGCTGGGTGCGGTGGCTCACGCCTGTAATCCCAACACTTTGGGAGGCTGAGGCAGGTGGATCACCTGAGAGGTCAGGAGTTTGAGACCAGCCTGGCCAACATGGTGAAGCCCCGTCTCTACTAAAAATACAAAAATTAGCTGGGCATGGTGGCAGGCATCTGTAATCCGAGCTATTCAGGAATCTGAGGTAGGAGAATTGCTTGAACCAGAGAGGCAGAGGTTGCAGTGAGCCAAGATCACGCCATTGCACTCCAGGCTGGGTGACAAGAGAGAAACTCCATCTCAAAACAAAAACACAAACAAAAACAAAAATACCAAACAGAGAATACAAATCAAAATGATGCTTCTGCTCTCACTCATATGTGGAAGCTAAAAAAGTTGATCTCATACTTAATGGTAGTTATTGAGGTAAGGATGGATAGAATCAGGGATAGCCAGAGTTTGGTCAATGGATACAAAAGTACAGCCTGGTAGTGGGAGTAAGTTCTCACATTCTATAGCACTGTAAGGTTGCTATAGTTAACCACAATTTATTGTATATTTTCAAATAGCTAGTAGAGATTTAAAATGTTCCTGACATAAATGATCAATGTTTGAGGTGATGATTTTGCTAATTACCCTGATTTGATCATTACACATTATATACATGTATGAACATATCACATGTATCCCATAAATAAGTACAACAATTTTGTCAATTAAAATAAAAGCAAAAAAGAAATGACACTTCATTTGAGAAACGGATAAAGACATAAAATTAAGGTAATAGAAAGTAAACATTTGGCCGGGCACAGTGGCTTACGCCTGTAATTCTAGCACATTGGGAGATCGAGGCAGGTGGATCACGAGGTCAGGAGTTCAAGACTAGCCCGACCAACATGGAGAAACCGTCTCTTTACTAAAACTACAAAAATTAGCTGGGCTTGGTGGCACAGTGCCTGTAATCCCAGCTACTTGGGAGACTAAGACAGGAGAATCGCTTAAACCCAGGAGGTGGAGGTTGCAGTGAGCTGAGATTGTGCCACCGCACTCCAGCCTGGTGACAAAGTGAGACTCAATCTCAAAAGAAAAAAAAAAAAAAAAAGCAAAAAAAGAAATGCTTCATTTGAGAAACTGTGAATAAGGACATAAAATTAAGGTAGTAGAAAACAAACATTTAACATTACTTCTGGGTCCATTCTTCTGTTAGTAACAACAAATGTGCTTTTCTGCTCTGCCAACAGAACATACCTTGCCAGTAGAAACTCCCCGGTCCCCCTACGATAAGGTCTCCATTCTACAAAACAGAAACAGCAACAGCCACCAGATTTGGAAAAGAAACACTGAGCATGTTTAAAGGGCGATAAATCATTGTTAATAAGCATTGCTCTAACAATTTGTTACATATAAAAAGCAATTTCTAAAAGAGCCTTCTATCTGAAGCCTGCAGTTTATTTTGTTTCCTCTTTTGCTTTCAATTATTTAGTGTGTTATATTAAATAATTTTAATTTGACTCAATTAGGTAAGTTGAACGCTCTCCCTTGAGAGAGATAAATTCTGTTTTCTGGCACTGCCTGTGATAAGCAAAATCTCAACATGTTTAATGCTGCGCCGTTCTGCAAGCATAGTCTTTTGAGACTTGGTGATAAAAAGACAATTCTGTTCCAATTTATTTCAAGGCCATAGTAATGCCTATTTTTTTCCCCATACATCTGGAATACCACCTCCTTCTCAGCAGAAAGAGCAAACACTCCAGACTAGCAAATATAAACATTTTCTCATCAATTTGCATCCTCACCTTTCATGTCTCATATCTTTAATTCTCGGTGGAAAACATCAGAACAAAACAAAAAAGCAATGATAAAAAGTGTGATGAAAGACAGTCGACAGTTTATATGTTAATGAAATGTTTCTATGCCATTTTCAAAACCACACAATCTTTCCCCTCTACGTTCTTACTGAACATCTCCATTCTTAATTTTGTGAAAGGATATATGAATTTTAATATTAAATGTAACTGGTCAATTATAGTTAGCAGATAAAACAATGAATAGAGTCTTGTGATCTCTTTCAGAAACATTTCTCTACTGCGTTTTCAGGATTTTCATTTCAAAAATTATTTTCACATTGTGTAAGAAGAAAGGCTGTTACTTTTTATCGTGCCTATTTCTCTACTATTTAATAGGCTGCTATGTGCATAAATTACTTACATAAAAATTGAACAGAAAAATTGTTTTAGAAATAATTTGCCTGAACGGGCTAGGTATGTTCCTCAAGATTCTTTGGTTCTTGGTGGTGGTGGTGGTGGTTGTTTTGGGGTGTGGGAGTGAGAGGCAGAGGGGAAAAAATCAGATCAAATATTAGAAGCTGCAAGACCAAAAGAATTCACCTTGTAAAAATCCAGACTAAATCCTGCTTGGCAGTAACCCTGGCCTTCCGGATCAGCATTGCCTAGAATGATCAAAACACATAAACGTTAGGACATCTTCATTCCCAAGATATTTCTTAATAACCAATTCAGGATATTATGTTATTTTCTCTAGAGCCTTCCAAATTAAAAATGATCAATATGTGTTTTATGTTTACTTTTAAAATGTATTCCAAGTAATTTATTAAACATATTTCCATCATTTCCTTACCCCAAATAACACCGTGATTCTCTAGTGAGATCAACAGGAATAACAGCCCTTTTGGCCATTACATTTGGTTTTATGACTCATGATCATTTGAAGAAATAAAATCCATCTTTGAGTATGTTCCAAATTTCCCATGAGGCAATAACGTGTCTCTCCTTTGCCCCCTTGTGCTGAGTGAAGGGAGATAGGTCTGTCATTCCTAACAGGTGACACCTTGAGGAATAAGGAGCAGTACAAGATGACCTTTGTGGATGCCATCTTCTGGGCCACCAGTAAGGATTTCTGTTGTTTCATGCTCTTTGATAGGAAGTGAATTTTAAATTATCCTTTTATGACTGGGCATGATGGCTGACACCTGTAATCCCAGTACTTTGGGAGGCTGAGGTGGGTGGGTCGCCTGAGCTCAGGAGTTCACCATCAGCCTGGGCAACATGGTGAAACCCTGTCTCTACTAAAATACAAAAAATTAGCTCAGCATGGTGGTGGGCGCCTGTAGTCCCAGCTACTCCGGAGGCTGAGGCAGGGGAATCGCTTGAACCTGAGCGGCGGAGATTGCAGTGAACTGAGATTGCACCATTGTATTACAGCCTGGGTGACAGAGTGAGACTCTGTCTCAGTCAATCCTATTCTAATAAGCTAGGTAAATAGAGAAATTGGGTTTCTGGTCACAGTCTCACCTGGACATTGCAGTGCTAGCGTTTACAAAAGAGAAAATTCTAGTAGTGGCTTATCTTGCTTTCCCTCCTGCATGACTCACTAACTCAATGTCCCATAGTATCTCATGGTACAGTTGTAAGCTATCGGCAGGCCAACATGACGATGTCAAGGCTATTGTTCTCAAAGTCTCTAGGGCATTAGGACCAGGAATTTACTACTTGTAACTTGTACTTTAAAAGAGTTTCTACAAATTCTCACATGCCTAAAATAGCCAAAATGTAGTGAATACAGTAGAGGGAATCTCAGTCCTGCATAGTTAGATTTGGACATGTAAACAATGATTCCTTTCTTATCAAGGATATTCCTTAATAGAAACTGAACTAAGAGGATGGGAAAGGAAATATGCATCATCACGGGAAATAGTGATGGCTGGGCATGCGCCTGTTCAGAATCTTCTTGAAATGGAACTGGCCTCTCCAGCTTCCCTTAGAATGTCTTCTGGTGTTTTCCTTCCTTTGGTCATCATTTAGCTAATTTTAGCACTGGCATCATTAATTTTTTCCAGATGCTCCCTTTATTTTTAAAAACACATTTTGACCTCATGCACTGTATTTTAACAAAACTTGTTCCTTACTTTACAACTATATTTCATGATTTATGGTTATGAATCCTGTAAAGTTATCTAAAGCTCATCTCTATAATCTGGAATGTCTGCGTACCAATTTTCTAGAAGTTTATATGCATAAATATGTATATGCATCCAGAAATATATATGAATACATGAGATATTACTCTGAACATACATGTGTTCATATACTGTTACTATATGTATTTTTCCATGCTTACGCCTTTTAACAAGTCCCTTTTATTTATTTATTTATTTATTTATTTATTTATTTTTAATTTTTTTTTTGAGACGGAGTTTCACTCTTGTTACCCAGGCTGGAGTGCAATGGCGCGATCTCGGCTCACCGCAACCTCCGCCTCCTGGGTTCAGGCAATTCTCCTGCCTCAGCCTCCTGAACAAGTCCCTTTTAAATTCAACCCTGACTTTTTATTAAGATTGCAAATTATTCAAAAGGGAAGAAACATGACAATTTTTGAAATTATTTTGCTTTAAAATAGGAGGCTGTAAAAAATTAAGAGAAAGCATTCATTTTTTTATAAAATTCACTGAGAAAATAATCAGCTCCAAATGTTTATTTTAAGTGGCAGTCATAATAGAGTGTGAGGTTCTTTCCATTGCAAAGTCATTTTTTTTCTTGTTGAATCATAATTTATGAGAGCTGAAGGAATCTTTCTTCCTTGGACTTGAGAGCATCTGTCAACTTGATAATTATGTCCTAGAGTGAACTCAGGAATCCATGGAAGCATATGGATCATTTGCTACTATTTGTTGACATCTTATCCAACAAATGGAAGGGTGTATGTGAACCATCCCCACCTGAATTCTAAATGACTGTAAGAGTCATAGGCAGATCATCCATATGAATGAGCAGGTAATGGCTAATAGTATCAGCAGAGTGGGTTCGTGGTGTAAAATTAACATGAAGTGCTTCTTTGCATTCTCTTTTGAAAGTAATATTGCTGATGTTTCCTGTTCTGGGATATCGACCATATGCTCATGAACAAGCTGGCTTTGTGTCAATGATCTGTGAACTTCTTGGCCAGGACCGGGAGTCTCCTTCTTGGATGATCTGAGTAAGAAGTGCCCGTAGGAATAGTGAGACCAGGAGGATGTGAAAACTGTGGCTGTACACCAGAGAGGAAAGAATTCATGGCAATTTATTGAGCTGTTCTGCAACTCAACATGTGCTCCCTTTTCTCTTTGTGGAGCTATTCTTTTATTTAGGAAACTAAACTAGTATCCTACTGTGTCCATGTAGCTTAAGATGCAATAGTACATTAATTTACATTTTTAGAGAATGGTTCAAACTCACTCTGAAACTTCTCCCCCAGAAGTCTATACTTCGTGTGCTGTATTTTGATTGCGTCCTCACATCCCATGCAGGTAGTCAGGCAAAAAGGCAGAACAAGGAGTGACTAGATTTATAAATGATCATCCTTGATGGCAGTGGGAAGAATATCCTACATTATGAAGGCAAAAGGCATGTGAGGGATGGGCTCATCTTTTTAGTTATAGTTATTTGCTGTTTGTTAACAAGCTAGCTGGTCTGTGAGCATATGGTCAATATCACAGAACAGGAACATGGGCAAATCATGGAGTATAGGATATGGATAGGTGTAAACAAAGATGAAACAAGTTCAGTAGTGAATCTCTCACTCCCATTAATTTTCTAAATATACTTTGGATATCCTTTGTTGTTGTTTGTGAGATTGTATCTTTAGCATAACAATCCTGACCTCTTAATAAACCCAAGAGCACAGCACTTTGAATGGAACATGACATGAACTATGCCTCACACTGGTTGCTGCCTGTGTCTGGGGAGTTTCTCTCCTTTCTACTCCAATAATCATTTATCATCTTGTCTAAAATACTCCTCCTCCCTTGGATTCCCCAGCACAGGCCTCTCCCTCCTTTCTTGTCTTGCTGTATTTTCAGTAGCACTTTTCACTGCCTGACATTGTATCATAAACACATTTATTTACATGTTTACTGTCTAGAGCCAGTTCCTTGAACAGAGGGCTTTTTTCCTCTTGTTCTTTGCTGTATTCCCTCAACACGGAAGAGTTAGTGCTCAATGTGTGTGTGTGTGTGTGTGTGTGTGTGTGTGTGTGTGTGTGTGTGTTTTGAAGAAATCCTGCTTTGAATAAATGAGTCCCATGATATACAAAGAACTCCTACTTTAAAGCTATTTAAAATAAAATCCTTGTTCCATTCAGCTGACATTTGATGTAATATGAAGAAGTGTCTGATTTACTTCAATATTTTTAAAAAGAAAAGCAATAATCTCCTCCTTGTTAAAAATCCTTACCAAAAGCCATCAGAGTTAAAATGTTCAAGCCAGGTATGGCGGCACATGCCTGTAATCCCAGCATTTTGGGAGGCCAAGGTGGATGAATCACTTGAGCTCAGGAGTTCATGATCAGCCTGAACAACATGGCAAAAACCCCTCTCTACAAAAAATACAAAAATTAGTTAGGCATAGTGGTACATGCCTATGGTCCCAGTTACTTGGGAGGATTTCTTGAGCCCAGGAAGTGGAGGCCACATTGAGCCATGATCACACCATTGCTTTCCAGCCTGGGTGACAGAGTAAGACCCTGCCTCAAAAAAAAAAAAAGTTTTACTCCCAGTTCTTTAGGTTTCTAAATCTCAGTGGCCTCTTCGTTAACCCTCTAATATCACTATTCTTTCTCTTCATTTATTTATGCCATTTAATCATTATCTTGCCTACATTAGTCAGTGGTGTTTTGAGCTTACATGCTCTCCTGTCTACAATAGAAAAGCGCTTGAGGTAATGTCTGTTTCAAGGAATAAAAGTCACTTACTGTTCCGGCAAGGAGAGAACTCGGCGTAGGCGCTGAAGTTCTGAATTGCTACATAGCAGGTGCCAACTGGATCCTTTTCTGGTGTTGGTTTAAGAGTTCTCCAGTGATACAAAGGAGCGCAGGCCTAGGAAACGTGAAAGATAAAAAAGCACATTTTTGATGTAGGTTTCTCATACTATAGTTTTATTTGAATTATTGGTATAACAAACTGTTAAATTATTGGGTGAATTAACTGGCCGCTAGCATGCTAATGAATATGTTGGTCATCAGAGGTAATTAAACTTCCAAAGCTAATTTTTAATGTTACTATACTGTAGAATTGGTGAAAATTAAATATGTGCAAAAAAATGAGTTTTCTCTTTGAGTTTTTTTGAGACAAGGTCTTGCTCTGTCACCCAGGCTGGAGTGCAGAGGCATGATCACAGTTTACTGTAGCCACAGCCTCCTGGGCTCAAGTGATCCTCTTTCCTGAGCCTCCCAAGTAGCTGGAACCACAGGCACACACTACCATGCCTGGCTAATTTTTGTTTTGTTTTGTTTTGTTTTGTTTTTGTAGAGACAGAGTCTCACTATGTTGCTTCGACTGGCCTCAAATTCCTGGGCTTAAGTGATCTGATGTCTCAGCCTCCCAAAGTGCTGGAATTAAACAGGCATGAACCACAGTGCCCAGGTCCCATGGAATTTCAAATTATTATTTTTTTGCTTCCCAAAGCAAGCAGAAAATAATTCCTAAAAGCAAATAACTCATATTTCTTTTCTCTTTTTTAATTGGACCTACATAAAAGCAAATGATTATGGAAACAGTGAATTAATCAGTGTGATGTCTTATGAGAACAAGTTCCTTTCTGTGTCTAATTATTGCTTTTAAAAGATGACTTTCAAATCAAACGACACAAACAAGCTAGTAAACCTGTTTTGTGACACCTCCTAGTTTACTGCTGAAGTCTCATCCTAGGACTTTTAAACAGAGACTTTCAACTGGACGCATGATTCCATTTTCACAGTGTTTTTGGCTTGGTTTTTCATGTCATGGTTTTTAATCATGGCAAAACTGAAAGTAAAAGCATTTTATGCCTGTTTTAGCAATTTTATCAGGGATGATCAAAAAGTAAGAAAGCATGTTAATGAGCTACAAGCATTTTCAAGGCATTAAACCCCACAGGTGAAGTAATTCAAGTCTCTGCCCCTCCTTGTTACAGAGAAATTTACTGTGATAAACTCCAAAGATGTCAGACAGTCTTTTTGAGAGAGGAGAGTTATCCAAATCATTCTGTAAATGCCCGTTCCATTCTAAGGTGGCAAAAAACCTAAGGGTTAGAAACGAAATGTCACATGCTTCTTTCCAGCTAACATATAGGGTGGTAAATAATGTTGCATATTGTACCAATATCTGCTCATACTCTGGAACCTGTTTTGAAATTGATTTAACTTCCTACAGCACTTACATGTAAAGGTTTGCATATAAAACTTGCTTGCTAGATGTGTAACACGTTGAATTAAATGCATGCCTGTCAGAAGTTGAAACATAATTTTATAATACCAAATGATTATGCATTTGTTGTTTGGTTTGCTGTTATGATTTATAACTTGTCATATCAGAAACTGACTTGATGCCTCATCCACGCCTTTTCATTTTCGTAATGTTTTAGAGAAAATAAGACATAGTTTATGTCATTTCTATGACACCTTTTTTTGGGAATCATGGTGAAAAGAGAGAACTACTTCTAAATTCGTTTGCCTAAAATAGGAATATTATTGGCAAAAATGAATTTAAACAACAGCAAGAAAAACATGAAATCATCTGGCTCCTTTTTCAGAAGTTTAGATTCATTTTTTTTTTTTGGCAGAAGTTTAGATTCTAACAAGAGCACTGTATGGACTGATAGAAAATCCTCTTCAAGTAAATGAAATCACATTTTGTTAGGAACGAGAGAGGAAATAGACATGTACAAAACATCAGCATGGTTTGAACTTCTGCTTTGCTTGCCTGAGTCTTCCATAAATATTGTACCTCAGTCTCCAAATACTCATCTGGGAAGACAGAATCCTAGAACCCAGAGCTGCTAAACTGCCTTCTGATTTGATAGTATCGCACTTAATTCCAGAGAAGTGGAAAAAGATCCCAATTTGAAAGTAGTCTATGCTTCCAAATGTGTCCTTGGTGATTTGGCCCAATGTATAAGTACTTTTAGTAAAGATAACTCCTAGTCAAATAAATTAGACTTCTGCAACTTCAGTTGTTTGGTTTTGCCTCTCTATGTATTGTAAAATCTTGGCCAATACTCCAAAACTCTCTAACTCATCTAGGTTCCCCAAGGCATCTGGTTCATAAATTCAACGTAAGGTGCAGATGGGGAAGCACAGGGAAATTACGTTGTGAAGCATTCACTTGTGTGGCTTAATCTTATCCAACTGGCCTCACCTTCTGTTTCCCCCAAAGACATTTGATGCCGTGAAAATTCTCTTCAGTGTTTGCCTGATGTTAGCTATAAAAAGTTACTCTCTTTCAGTCTGCTCAGTTTCACAGTGATATGAAACATACTTATGTGATATATTTAGGCTTTGACCCAAACCTGATATGTATACCCACGGTATCTGGGTATATAAAATGATACTTCCGGAGGCAGCATTTTGCAGTTATAAAAATTATGTCATATAGGAGATAATTTAAATGTTCATTCTGCTAAGTTTCAGCACTTAAAGTTAGCTTGAAATATACTCTATATTATCCTATTTCCCATCATATATTTTAGAAAATGCAGGCATGCCAAAAATTAACCATTTTTTATGAACATGGTGTATTATTTTCCTTTCCATTGTTTTGAGGGTTTCTACAATTATTGAATAAATATGCAACCATTACATGTTACAGATAAAATTTCAAAACACAAAAAACTCAAAATGCATCCAAAATATTTTCTAAACCCCAAACAGTTATTACACAGAGTTAATTTTTCAACAACAATGCCCATATGTCATACTTCACTTTAAAAAGTTCTTACGAGTCCGTGGCTCATGCCTGTAATCCCAGTACTTCTGGGAGGCCAAGGCGGGCGGATCACAGGCCACAAGTTCAAGACCAGCCTGACCTACATGGTGAACCCCATATCTACTAAAAATTCAAAAATTAGCCGGGCATGGTGGCGCTCTCCTGTGGTTCCAGCTACTCGGAAGGCTGAGGCAGGAGAATAGCTTGAGCCCAAGAGGTGGAGGTTGCAGTGAGCTAAGATCGTGCCACTGCACTCCAACCTGGGCAACAGAGCAAGATTTTGTCTAAAAAAAAAAAAAAAAAAAAAAAAAAAAAAAAAAAAAAAAAAAGTTCTTACGAATTCTGGAATGTGAAAAAATTATACGAATGCAAAGACAACTCTACAAAAACTATCTTGTAAATGCTTCTTAACTAGAGAGGGCTATATATACTTTATACATTACCTGTTTTATGTCATAATCTTTTGGGGGTTAACCACAGACTAAATAAAGCAAGGCATTTCCTTTAGATACTGATTCTTATTAAACCATAATTCCAGTAGGTTTCAACAAATCCTAAAAGCCAAAGTTATTGCCTTATTGTTGTAAGGAAATTAAAGCCAATAGGTTGAAAAAATTCCCCCCAAAATTACCTTAATAGTCATTTACTTCTCGATAACTTATAGACATGTATCATGGCTCAGAACAACCAAATAGTAGAATTATAATGTCATAGTGCTTTGAAGCTGAAATAATATCTATTGGGAATGAGTGTTTTTACTTTCAAAAGTATTGATGAACTCAGAGAATCATGCAGTTAGTCATTTAAGAATTATTATGAAAGACAGCTTTTCTTCAGTTGTAGAAAGGATCAATGAAACCACAGCAGACTAACTTTTTAAGCATCCGTATGGGTATTTCAGTCCTATTTTTCTGGTCAGACTTGCAGCGGCCCCTCAGCCAGTCTTAAGCAATACACTATTTTACTGCTTTAAGATTTAGCTTTTACTTTTGTTTCTTAGTTGTTTTGAAATATTTGAAAATAGTTAACTGCTCTTCTTGAAAACAGGGTTCATTTCCTAGAACTTTAAACACTAGAATACATTCTTTAGTTTTAAGCATTCAGTTTCTTTTAAAATGCCAGCAGGCTTATCGTTGAAAGTCTAACACGTTCGTATAGGAAAGAGCTTCCTTAAACATGAGCTTGAAAACATTCCAGTGCACACCACACTCCAAAGCAGCCACACAGGCCCACGCTTCATACTCACCACCACTTTTCCTTTGTGAGCTTTCACTGTTGCTCCAAACCACTGATTCGATTTAAACTCGATAGGTTCTTTGGTTCCATTAACTCTGATCTTTCTGTTGTCTGACAAAGAAGATATGAGTAGTTAATAATTTGTGTAACATAGCAGCCAATTAAAACACATAATTTGCACATCGAAAATATTTGAACGAATACCAATCCTTCTCTAACTATTCCAAAGAAATTGAGGAACGGCTGGGTATGGTGGCTCACATCTGTAATGCCAGCACTTTGGGAAGCCGAGGCGGGAAGGATCACTTGAGTCCAGGAGTTCAAGACCAGCCTGGGCAACATGGTGAAACCCTGTCTCTATCAAAAAGTACCAAAAAACAAAAATAAAAAATTGCTGGGCGTGGTGGTTTGTGCCTGTAATCCCAGCTACTCAGGAGGCTAAGATGAGAGAATCACTTGAATCCAGGAGGTGGAGGTTGCAGTGAGCTGAGATCGTGTCCCTGCACTCCAGTCTGGGCAACAAAGTAAGACTCTGTCTCAAAAAAAAAAAAATAAAACAAAACATTGAAGAGAAGGAAATAATTCAAGGGCCAGCATTACCCTGATGCCAAAACCAGACAAAGGTATTACAAGAAAAGAAAATTACAGGCTAACATCCCCAATAAACATGAATGCAAAAATCTTCAACAAAATACTAGCAACCCAAATTCAACAGCACGTTAAAAGGATTATCGATTGTGTTCAAGTGAGGTTTATCCCTGGGATGCAAGGATGGATCAACATAGAAATCAATCAATGTGCTACCCTATATTAGTAGGATATGGAATCATCTTAGATGTCTTTCAATAGATGAATAAAGAAAATGTGGTATATATATGGTGGAACACATTTAGTTTTAAAAATAAATCCTCAGCTGGGTGCGGTGGCTCACCCCTGTAATCTCAGCACTTTGGGAGGCCGAAGCGGGCAGATCACGAGGTCAGGAGTTCGAAACCAGCCTGGCCCACATGGTGAAACCCAATCTCTACTAAAAATACAAAAATTAGCCAGTTGCAGTGGTAGGCGCCTATAATTCCAGCTACTTGGGAGGCTGAGATAGGAGAATCACTTGAATCTGGGAGGCAGAAGTTGCAGTGAGCCAAGGTCACACTATTGCATGCCAGTCTGGTGCTAAAGCAGGACTCCTCAAAAAAAAACAAAACAAAACAAAAAAAGAAATCCTCTCATTTGCCACAACATGGATGAACATGAGGATATCATGCCAAGTCACAAATAATTTTGTGCCTGAAACAAGCTGGGAACAAAACCACAAATACTGCATGAACTCACTTACATGTGGAATCTAAAAAAGTCAAACTCATAGAAGCAGAGAGTAGAATGGTAGTTACCAGGGGCTGGCGAGGGCAGGAGGGGTTGGGGAGAAGTTTGTCAAAAGGTACAAAGTTTCATTTGGGATGAATAAATTATGGAGATTTATTGTACAGAGAGATGACCTAGAGAATAGTTTTTAAATGTTCTTAATATACACACACACATATGCACCAAAGGCAACCATGCTAGGTGATGGGTATGTTTATTAGCTTGATTTAATCATTTCACTATGTTTAAATAGATCAAAACATTTCACCATATACCATAAATACATACAATTTTTTTGAGACAGGGTCTCACACTGTTGCCCAGGCTAGAATGCAGTGACATGATCACAGTATGCTGCAGCCTCAGCTTCCCTGGGCTTAAGTGACCCTCCCACCTCAGCCTCCCGAGTAGCTAGAAATACAGGTGCATGCCACCATGCTAGACTTTTTTTTTTTTTTTTTTTTTTTTGGTAGAGATAAGGTTTTGCTATGTTGCCCAGGCTGGTCTTGAACTCTTGAACTCAAGCAATCCTCCCGCCTTGGCCTCTCAAAGGGCTGGGGTTACAAGTGTGAGCCATTGTTCCCAGGCTTATACAATTTTTGTCAATTAAAAAAAAAAACTTGAGCATCAATTTTCATATAAAGGGGGATTTCTCTTTGATTAAGTCTAAGAGTGTGACTCCCAATAGATAAATATAACATGAATATATGTATTCATTCATTACATTTCACAACTTAAAAGAAGCATTTTCTTAAGATTCGCATTTCAGAGGTAAATGTCTTGCGAACTTAGTGTAGACTTTGTATCCCTGAATCTACGCTTCAGTTATTGGTTTCACATTGAAGACCATAGATTTATAATTGCTCTAAATATTTCCAAATCTTTCCCAATAGTAAAACACATGAGATTCTGCCCACTCTGAAGAACAGAGGCTTCTCAGCATGTATTAGCAGGAACCAGCATGAAGGACTCCAAAGTCCTGATTTCTGACTGAGTAACACAGGTCTACACAGCCACAGTAGATAACACCCCAACACAATTACATATACTTTGTAGATGTCAGCATGGGGGGGCCATCTGAGTAGAAATTCAACCCAGTTATAACACACTTCAGGTCTTAATAAAAGCATGAATCTTGGCCAGGTGCAGTGGCTCATGCCTGTAATTCCAGCACTTTGGGAGACCAAGGCAGGTGGATCACTTGAGGCCAGGAGTTTGAGACCAGCCTGACCAACATGGTGAAACCTGGTCTCTACTAGAAATACCAAAATTAGCTGGGCGTGGTAGTGCACATCTGTAGTCTCAGCTACTTAGGAGGCTAAGACATGAGAATTGCTTGAACCTGGAAATGGAGGTTGCAGTGAGCTGAGATCGTGGCACTGCGCTCTAGCCTGTACAACAGAGTGAGACTCTGTCTCAATAAAATAGAATAAAATAGAAAAATAAAGCATGCATCTTTTCTTCCACTGTTGATTTCACCTTCAGCTTATTTCACACGTGGTTCTAATTGCATAGTTTTAACTAGAGCTTTATCAGTAATAGCTAATCAATTTCTGTAGATATTTGTATTAGGGCATCTTATTTGTGTTTCCTGTGATATGCACTTTTTCTTCCTTGACCTTATAAAAACATATTACAAAATAAACTTTTTGTTCCTATTAAATGAGGCCAAAATAAACATGTAATTAAACTTTCAATCGAGTTTACTTATGATTACAGACTGTTTAAAGAATAAATTGTACATACTCAATCTTAACCTAAAATTTACATTTTGACATGTTAGTAGAAAATCGTGAATTTTTCTTTTAAAAAGCTCATGCTTTTGATGTTTCCAGATGTTTTTAAAGAACAAGTTCTGGAAATCCTCACCCAAAGTGCACATGACTAACAAAGTATTACAGCTCTTACAGTGTATAGCTTAAACTGGAAAATATCGGCATTTCTATTTATGTCTTGGCAGCATGGAAGATTATAGAATTTGAAGTGGAAGGTTCTTGCCATCACTGACTAGGCGACCCTGGGAAATTTATTTCATCTTTTGCAGTTTCTGATTTCTTCCATAAAATGAGGCTGAGAATAGCTTCCCCTTTTCCTCCTGCACGGGCCGTCATAAAGTCACGAAGGTTCCTGAGATCAGCGAACATGAAAGTTCTTTGTAAATTGGGAAGTCATACAACAGAAATCTTGTAGCAATATAGCTGAAGGTCCATAGATTAAAAAAAAAATCTCTTAAATAGAACTTAAGATAGTTTAAGATAATTTAAGTCTGTGTTTTGGTATCATACCTTGGTATCACCAGCTTAAGGTATCCCTCCTTAAGCTAAGATGTTGATGTTGTACTACAGAAGTCTTGTAGCAATACAACTACATGAAGGTCTGTGGCTTTAAGATATCTATCTTTTTAAAAATCTGTCTATATATTATAGATATAAAATATAGAGACATCTGTCTATATTATCGATATGAAATATATATATCTATACAATATAATCTATATTTATATCTATAAAATATATCTATAAAACATACAAAAATAGATACATAATATATTCTTACATATCATTACATATAATATATTACATATATTACATGTGTTACATATACTATATTATAATATTATTATATATAATATAGTAAATATAATTATATTTATGTATATATATTGTATAAGATATAATTAATATATAATTATATAATCGACATATTATGAGATATAATAATACATAATAACATACTATATCTATCATATATCTATTTTATACATATATATGTGTGTCTTAGGAACCTAGAAATTCAACCTAGATCCAAGAATTCAAAAGAACCTCCAGACACGAGTATAATTTGTTGTTAGTAGTGACTTGTGGCACTCAGGAATGAAATTATGACACCTCACAACATTGTCAAGTGGCTTTGATTACATATAGGGAGAAAGTGCTAGAGTGGTCTTGAAATCACTAAACCATGAAAAAGTCATGAAAAGAAGACCAGGGTCTCAAAAACTCAAACAGAGTTACAGGAGATCCTAAAAGGACTTCAGAAAAGCTGGTTTCAGTGAGGAAGGAAATGAATTCCAGGGAAAAAAGAAGCCAGCTCCGAATGGGATCTTCCTTTAGTTGCTAAAATGATATGATTTCGCCTGTGTGATTCCCGAGATATCTTTTCTGCCGTTATGGGGTGAACTGTGTAATAACTGGCTTGCAAGTGTCAACTGTGCCATTTTCAGCAATATGTTTCTTCTCGACCAAGGGTACAAATGAACGGGCTTCATTAATTTCATACCCAATCCAGGGATTATAACAGAGCAGAATTCCACTGTCCCAGGTCTCTATGTACTGAGATGAGTTTTGAATCTCACATTGATCTTTGCAGTCAACAAACCACCTTTCCAAAATTGTGTTTTATCTTTTTAATAAATGCTCGGACTTTGAATCTAACATCGTAATTTAATAAAGTTCAAATAAGTAAGATGTATGGGGGTTGACTGTGAAGGTAAGCTTTCCCTCATTTCTTACTTCCCTTTTCTGACCACGGCTCTTTCATGCCAAATAAGCTGACACAGTGCTCAGTACTATGTCATCCTAGTGCTCAATGAACCTTTGATGCATGGAGGATGTTTCTGATTTCATTTGATCCGACCTTTAGTGAAAACTACTTCTAAGTAATGTCTGAATATTCAGCACTATGTCAGCCCTTTAAGACTCGTCTCTCTGTGGCAAGGACTGAAGGTATGGAAAATGCATTTCCCAGACTTT